CTGGCCCCACTAACACCTCTTCCAGCAGCAACCTTCATTTTTCCCTGGAGGTCTCCCATCCATGCTCACACCTTCTTAACTTCAGTGGGTTGCAGGTTCTGAGTTGCAGGGTGATATGGCTGCTGAAAAGATAAGGTGGAGGAGAGTGGGGCATGCCCATTGCCTGACATTAAAGAAGGGGGCTGTGCGAGGTGAGGTGCAACATGTAGAGAGCCCTCTCTCCATCTCGCAATCGCACGCAGCAGCCCCGACTCGGCTGATAAGGGTGTAGAACTGCTATTAAGTAATGTAGGTTCTCCTCAGGGACTTTCAGGAAAAAAGAAGGGAGGCTGGTTGTTTGATTCATGGGAAGAACATCTAGTGCATATGGGTACAAAATGCAAGTAATAGACATTTTCTGGAGCTTGAGAAGTGCTTGCACCATTCAATGAAAAGGTGAGTGGCTCTAATGATTCTTTGATTACAGATCGACAGCCACAACTCACCTTGTTCGCGCAACTTAATCTTAGTAATCTTAAATGATTCGAAATGATTAGAAATCTGAAAATTTCTATACATTTATTGACCATTAAGAAATGAGGTGATTGATTTGTATGGAAATCATTACTATTATATCAAAGAGTTAACGGCTATTCAACTAATTGTGTGACTTGCAAATGTAATTTTGTGCAACAAATCTAATACGCTACTGCTGCACTCTTGTATTGGATAAAGTGGTAAGAAAATGGATGGACGATCTAATACTTTTACTTAATTGAATATTTAATATCCAATCAACCTATTTTAGTTTTTTATTTTTCATTGCAGTTTGTACTGAAGTTTAACTTCTCTGAAGGTGAGAGTAAGTACTTTTACAGGGCACTGTTTACAGACTGAAAAGGACTTATCTTTACACACTATGTGAACATTCATACTATAATCACATTCATGCTGACCCCAGGGTTATGCAGAGCACTTCCAGAGAGATGACTCATTCCCAAAAGGTACAGGAGCTTTATGTGTGTGGATGGATAGGGGCTTTCAAGCATACTGACAGGGCAGACTAGTCATGAGGGTAAAGGAAAAAACCTCCAAAGCCAAAGATAAAATAGACACATCAAGTAGGGTATCTTTTAGGACAGAGGTAGTAAAGGTGGAGAGGATAAATCCAAGATATATTGTTCCAAAATTGCTAGGATTTAGAAGGTGTATCCATCCTGATGTAGTCCAATTTTTGTTTAAGAAATTCATTTTTACAGTATTCTGAACACACTTCTCATGAATTCTGCTGTGCCTGTCTGCATTTGAACATTAACAGCAGCCATTAAAAAGATGGCAGCTAGGAAGATCAAATGCTTTACCTCTGTTTTAATCCATTGACTTTCCAGAACTGCACCAATTGAAATAAATTAACTTTTCAACTTTACTTAAGCTGAACATTTTGGAATTTTTCCACTGGCGTGTCGGTAAATTTATGAAGCCAATAGAATACAGATAATACTTGCCTAACTCTGAAAATAATTAGTGTGCCTTTTATTTCACTAGCACTTTTTCTGTATAATTAAGTTCTGAAAGGTTAATTAACGTTAAAAAAATAATAGTGGCAATGAACATTCAGGAAGGGTTCTACATTCAGAAAATGACTTTCTTAGAAAGTCAAGCCATTCTTTCATGGTCACAGAGTAGCTGCATTATCGTGCTTAATGTCTTATTTAAATGAACCCAGAGGGAGGATTTAAAGTAGATTGGATGTTTTTTTGGTAACAATTTCCTTATGGTTAATTTCAGTAACTTCATAGAAGAACAGTCACACATCATTGGACTATAAATGACATAGAGCTGTGAAAATGAAATTCAATGCCAATTAAATGTTTATTGTGCATTAAAGACTGTAATTAAATTTCTTCTTTTCATATACTGTTTTGCTTAAGACCGGGATTCATATTTTGTTTTAATTCCATCCCTTACTGAAACACTAAAGATCAAGCATAATTTTGAATATACTGTAGGTCTAAGAGCTCAATTTAATTAACGCATGGCAGTGTTTTCTGTTTTAATTTGATTCACATGTGGATATAAGCATCACTGTACTTTTTCTGTTTCTGTTTAGACTACTCAAAGAAGTGAGGATTTCAATGTAATTTGAGGATATTTAGCTACTAATGTAATAAGGTTCCAGTAATGTGGATTTTAACAATTTGGTGTTGAGAAGGTCAAGGGTGAATATAGATGAATATTTTATTATGCCCTTATGCCTGTTTTACTAACATCTTTCAATATCTGACTTATGACTATCTCTTACTAATAATATACCACAAACATTAATCATATGGAAGAAGAAGATTTTGCATTCACACTGAACATCAAAGAAATAGGCCACCGTGTTTGGCCTTCACTGGGAGAAATTCCATCCATACACCTATGGCTCATATTTTAAATCCATGATGCTGTCTTGTGAGTTTCTGTCCCATTCCTCTTGTAGAGTCTTGGCAAGCACGTGTCAGTTCACAGGTCTCTGAGCCCTAGAAGCCACATGTCATCACAGCTAATTTCACAAATAAAACGTTTAAACACAAGTTTGGGAGGAAGTCAAATTCTAATCTTGTCCACTTTTGTTCTCCTGTGTAACAGACAGGTTACCCACCCCACTAGGTGAACTCATTGTGGGCCCTTGAACCCATCTAAATATGATCTACTCACCTACAACCATTATACTGTTCCTTTTTACTTTCACACCACACACAACTAACAACATACTGTAGGTGTCAGATTTCCTTGAAAAATGACAGAACATATGGGGCTGGCTGACTGGTATCCTAATTACTTCTTTATGCTACATATATGTTGTTTCCTATAGAGATAAAATTGAACCTGAAGAAATGTGCTTTGAGGCAGGCATTTCACATCCCAGGTTTAAACATTTCAAGCTCTTCTCTTCTGATAGCTTATTTTTTCTAAATGACAAGACCTTAGACAGCAGCTTTAGTTACCACACAGCATGTCTCTTTTTTTCTTCTGAGGGTTAGTATTAAGGCAGAGGACCTGTGACAGCTTCTCCTCTTGTTCCAATCCATTTAATTAAGCAGAAATCACTTAATTACTCCAGAGACGCAAAGAATGAAAAACACAATTTAAAAAGAAAAATCCCATTAAAGGTACCAGAACGTTATCTAAATCTCCAGCCATAATTAGCATTGACAAAAAAAAAACATTTTCTGATTTCTTTGTTTAAACACCAGTGCTCATCACTATCAGAGTTTGTCTGAGTCCCTATTGTTTGGTGCTGTCACATAAGCAAGATAACAAAAGAAGAAAAGCTTCTACAGAAAAAAGGAAATTCTAAATTTATTACAACCAGAGACACAGAGGTAAATCTGTTAAACTGTTTGTTACCAACATTTTTTAGAAAATATATCCATACAATTTAGTAATTCAAATCTAAAGAATTTTGAGTCTGGCAGGTTTTGATGGGTATCATTATATTTATCTTCTTAAGCACTAGGAGTCGTGGAACTCTGAAAAATACGTGATTCTACATCCCCACGTGTTTCTACAGATGTTTGGGATTTGTGCCTGCTGTTTGTATTGCCCACTCTCTGACAAGTTCAAGTCCAGCATGTCTTTTCCTTCAGGGCACCTTGATGCGACTCAGACAAGTCACAATAGCATTTCTACAGAAGCTGCTGGACTGTTTTTGTATTTTTGTTTTGATGTGAAATAGCACTTCATGGAAATATGCAGCGATCTCCATTTGTTATGTAACAAGTGCATCAAAGTGCATCACTCTAAAATATCTTATATTTTAATGTCTGAAAATCTGTGATTGTGCCCTCAATGTTTTGCTAACTGTAGTTGTTCCTAGTCAGACCTGGGTGAGGAGACCTACAAAGAAAAACAATGTTTCTGCTATATCTGCTGGATCTCTATGTGGCGCTTTTCCTTTGGGATCTAAATGTTCAAACCAGTTCAAAACCAGTGCTCCACTGGTCAACCAGAATGGTGAACAGGGACACCTTTGTGATCCTTTTTCATTTATATTACTGTATAAAGCTGATTAAGTAAAACAAACAATAACATTGATATTTGAGATGTACAGGTTGCACCAAATAACATACATTAACTTTATGTTTCCTTTCTAAGTTGTATTTAGTTTGGGAATTTGTACATGCAAACATAATAGTAGTGTTCACATTAGTAAAGCCATGAGTGATGCTTGCTAAATGCCATAGCTAGATAAGAAGATAATCTGTATGGGGCAGTGAAATTAAGCAGAAGGAAGGCCCCTATTGTGCTTTTATGGCACAGAGAAAAAATGTGCCCATATCATTAGCAGACAAACTATTTTAAGTGCAGAACATTTCCTGAATTATGTTTCCTTTCGAATCCCCTGATAATATGAATGTCTGGAGCTTGTTTGTTTTAAAGATGTGTTGTTGCTAAAATGCTGAAAACCTGAAAACTAAAAGGTCACATATGGTGACACTGAAACTGCTCTCTTCTGTGTCTATGTATGCATACTGAAGTAAACGCTTTCTGTGTTGTCTGGCATTCATTTGCATGGTTATGTCAGACATACAAGTACTTTCCTGAGCCAATGACTTTTTAGTGAAGTAAATACATGGTCTGTATGCTCACCCATCTATTGGGATTCTATGTAAAAAATCTTGGACTAAAGATTTTTTGGATAACACTATTATTAAAAACTGAAGACCAAGCTTCAAATTTAACTGAAAGGTGAAGCAAAGAAAACTGAAGTGTGTAAAGAACAAAGCTGATACAAAGTTTATATTAAAAAAACCTGTCAAAACAAATGAATACAAGTTTTTATTTTTTCAGTCTGCAGTGGTATAGGAGTCATATTTAAAAAATATTGCTTCAACAAGGCAAAGAAGAAACCCTTTGCTAATGTTCACATAATTTAAATATGTCCTCCACATTTATACTATTATTCAACATTGTCATGTTTATAGCAATTGAAATACTGTGAAGTCAGCTTTCCAGCAATTTTCTTCTTTGTGCAGTGATTCAGGAAACTGTAGCTGGATGAACTGATTCTTGCACCGTCATAAGGAAGCCATTGTTCAACGGTACATCATACTATTTCTAAGTCTAATAGTATATTTCTAACAATTAAAAAGACGTGTATGTATGAAGCTATAGGGATAATTATATGAAAAAATACCTCTATATGTTTAATGTAACAGAATATTGCTATGTCCTTTATTACTACAGTACAGTATTTCCATTATCATTAATCTATGGTTTTGAGCAAACCTCTCAGCTTCTCATAGCTTGTTGATGAATCACCAATCTCACAGTATAGGTTCTCATGTTAGAAATCACAAACAGTTTTCCTTTGGAAACTGTTTAAAAAGATGGAACTGGAGTCAAAGCAAATCGGACACATGCCTGCCAACTAAAATTGTCATAGTCCTAACCTAAATCTTGAACTGCAGGGATGAAAAGTGTGAGAAAGGAAAAAGGTTTTTAAGTGTTAACACCTATTAGTTAACTCCCACCATCTCAAGAATAATGGTTTCCTTTGTTTGCTTTTACTTCTATTTTGCAGAAAGTGAAGACAAGGAATACTTTAAAGAAGAATAGTACTATAAGAACACTATACAGTAAGTAAAGTATAGTACATCCACTTAAATGATGCTGTATATCTACATCTACACTAGTACATAATACAGTATTGCAATGGTGGAGGCTGGTGCTGTTAGGTGGGCTATACAGTCCATCTTCCTCTTATACGTTTCTAGATACAATGGGCCTTAGTTCTGTCTTACGTAGTCAGATTCCCCAAAGTGGCTCATCCAGTAAAGAAGCTTGCTTGCATTTGCAGTCTATGATCATGGATTCAAACCTCGGTCATGTCACTAGCTGTCTGTCATTTGGATTTCCCACAGCTGATAGAAATCAAAAGTATTGGAAAGGACCCTTCCCTCTAGCAAAACCACAATGTAGATGTATGGTACATGCATGTTCTGTAAATGTATGGGTGATCAGTTATACAGTCGTTATCTGTCAAAAGATGTTTAGTGCCATATTCTTCTTTGTACACAGACTAATCTTATAAGAACATACTGTATAAACATTAGAAGGCTTACAATAGACAGGAGGCCATTCACCCCACATAGCTTGTTTGGTACTTAGTAGCTTATTGAGAATGTACAAGAATGTCTTCTATCCATTTCTTGAAAGAAGTTAAAGTACTTGCCTCAGTCACATGGCTGAGAAGCTTGTTCCATGCTCCTACAAAGATATACCCCCAGTTTTAAATTCAATTTTGTGTTGGTTCCACCTGTGGTTCAAGTTTCCCTATTAGTGTTCTCTTGAATAATTGTATCAATGTTCGGTTCTTTCAGCATTTCAAGGTACAGTAGGGCATTCCATTTCCTCTCTTCTCTAACCAGATTCCAGAGCAACCATATCTTTCTAGTTATTGTACTCAATATTCTATATGAGGCCTAGCTATTGCATTGAGGAATTTTAACATAACATCCCTTGATTTGAAATGTACATTTTTGATTATATAGTCTAACATTTTCTCAGCCACAAAGCTCTGTATGTCTTTGCATTAAGCATCAAATGCCATGTGATTGAGCAGTCTTAGATTTTAGCTAAATCTATTTTAGTTTAATTTCTTGCTTTTTTAGTTCTACTAATTTGGTATTTGCAAACATGACTAGTTTACTAACTAAACCAGCATCAAGATCATTAATGTAAATTAGGAAGAACATTGGTCCTAGTTCAGATCCATGTGGTATTCCACTAAAGATATTACCACAGTTTGAATATTGACACCTTATCTGTACTGTTTAGTATTTTAAACCAGTTGTCAGTCTAGTTGCACACATTTCCCTGAATGGCTTCTGCTTAAAAGCCTGAAAATCTGAATACACCATAGGACATGCTAACTTTGTGTCCCTTACTAGTGTTGTTGCTTGATTAAAGAACTAAAGAACTTTAAAGAACTTCTCAGACAAGATCCAAAAAATTTCAGATGGATTTAGTAGTTGGCTTTATTCCACTATCAGGATTACAGAGTTGGTGTAACGAACAGTTCTTTCCGGACCCTATGCGGACGACACAATCCGACGGAGTGGGGAAACACTGGGGAAACGTCATGCAGGAATACGGGGCTGAAGACAAGGGGGCGTCCAAGGTGCGCTGGTGCACGGGGAAGGTGTGGCCGAGGCGAACAATCCAAAAGAGTAGTCCTTAGGGAATATCCAAAACACAAGGGTAAGTCCAAAACCAGGAGATCCATCAGAACAAAAAATTAAAAACCACGAAGGCCGGGTCGGAACCGGCGGACGGGGAACAGGAACGGGAACAGAGGTTAAAACCTTAACGGGACCAGGCGCTTCCAGGTCCCGGACTCGCATGATATGTAAATCAGATGCAGAGCCCGGATGAGCGTCAGCGCCTGGCTTTTAAGGTGGGCTGGGAATGGGAATCAGGTGCACAGAATAAAGTCTCAAGTGAAAGGGCTGGAGCACCCTTAAGGAGGGGGGACTATAATCGTGACAGTTGGGTTTCTACATCTGTATATTAAACATTCTCAAATTACCTTATTCAAGATTCGGCCAATGGGGTTTTGGAAGGACGAAGAGCAGAGCGGGAAGAATCCAAGCCGAAAGTTCTCAAGTGCAACTTTTAAATTAGCTGTGCAACAGACTAGGATTGTCAGATGAATCCAATGGAGCTGATAAGCCTAAATCACTCTGTGCTCCCTACCTAAGGACTATCCAGCATCTCAACGTGATCTTTTTGTATAGTAACAAGTGCTCTAGTGCCTTTTGCTACACAAATGTTTTAATCAGCTTTTCAGCCACAGTTAGTGATAGCATAGGGCGTAGTCTAACTATATTTCTGAGGTGAAAAATAGATGTTATAGAGACAGCCACATCAGTGTCAGTTTTGGTAAGGATGTATATTTGAGTATCATCAGCATAGAAATGATTGCTGAGGCCATGTGATCTTAAAAGCTGACCAAGTGGAAACATGTAAATGCTGAAGAGCAAAGGGCCCAGTACTGAGCCCTGATGAACACCAGACTTAACAAGACCAATTTCAGACCTGTACCCATTAAGAGAGACAAATTGACAGCATTCAGTGAGGTAAGACTAAAACCATTTGAGAGCAGTGTCAAAAACTCCAAGATGAGAAAGTAAGATGTCATGGTCAACATTATCAAAAGCAGCACTTAGATCAAGAAGGATGAGAATAGAAAGATAACCAGAATCAGAAGCTCTCAGAAGATCATTAGTGACTTTGACCAGGACAGTTTCTGTGCTCTGAAGTTGACAGAAGCCAGATTTGAAAAGGTTATTTGCTATGAGGTGGTTATGCAACTGAAATGTGAAAGCACGTTCTAGAATTTTTGCAAGAAAGGGTAAGTTGGAGATGGGTCGAAAATTTTTAAGATTGTTGAGAGCCATGTTAGGCTTTTTGGCATGGGGGTAATGGCAGCAGTCTTGAGGACTGTTGGTACAACACCAGTGCTCAAGGATTCATTTATAATATCGAGAACAATGGGACAAAGAGAAGAGAAAGAGGACTGAAATAAAGTGATGGGAATGGGATCTAAAATAGATGTGGTGGGTTTTATGTGTGTAACTAGTTTATTGAGGGATGCTGGGTCAAGAAGAGATAGGTTGGAGAAAAGAGAACCAAAAAAGTTGGATAAGGAGGGAGGCGGTATGGAAATGATATGCATAGTGGAGAGAATGTGATGACAGATGTTGCTGATCTTGGAGCTAAAGAAATCTAAGAATGTGTTGCAAAGTTGCGATAAGGCAGGTAATGTGGTGGGACAGTTTGGCTTTAGCAAGCTGTTGATTGTGGAGAAAAGATGTCTGGGGTTGTTATGGCAATTTTCAATGATGTGAGAGAAGTACATTGATCTAGCAGACTCTACTGTAACCTTATATTCAGTAATCTCTCCAAGCCTGATAGTGTACATTTAGGCCAGAAAAACACCACCTATGCTCAAGTTTGCTGGAGGCTGCCTTCATAGATCACAGATATCATTGTACTAGGGGGTAGGGCGAGAGAAGGAGATGGTTCGAGTTTTTAAAAGACCAAAGGTGTCAAGGGTAGATAAAAGAGCACTGTCACGTAACTGTATTTTTTCCTCTAGAAGGTCAGAGGAAGAGAAACAAGAGGACAGAACAGAATTTGCAAACCTTGGGTGATCAATTGATCGCCAGTTGTGGAAATTTACAGAGCATTAGGTGGAAGTGTTAGAAAACAGGTAATTCCAGATTGAAGAGAATAGCTAAGTGGTCAGAGAGGTCTAGATCAAGGGAAGAGCAGTGGGAGACAAAAGAGTCATTTGCAATGATTAAGTCTAGGGTGTGTCCTTTTTTATGTGTATTGGTACAAACAAAGATGAAAACATCCCAATAGAGAAAGAAAGTCTTTAGCCAGACTGGAATACCTTGAGTAAATGTGTATATTAAAGTCCCCTAGAATAAGGATCCTTTTAAGCTTAAGGCATAAAAATGAGAGTAAATCAGCAGATTCACCTAAGAAGACTTTGCTGGATTTTGGTGGTCTATAAACTGTGTAAATAACAATGATGCCCCGCCTCTGTTAGAGAGACGCGGAAGGTCAAACAAACCATACCCAGGAGGGACTAGTTGGTTAAACAGCAATCCATCGTTTTGTGTGTGTCAGGTTTCAGTTAAGCACAGGTCCAGTTTTTTTTCTCTGATAATGTCACATAAAAGATATAGCATCTGTAGACATAGCACTACAGAGATAGCACCTGTTGTGGAATAAACATAAGCACCAGGGGAAGATCCGAATGGATAGTCAAGCAGGCAAGAGGTCGTATCACTGAAGAGTTTTCGACACAGGCTACCTGGGTCATACTTGGTAATACACACCAAAGCATTAGGAAGATCCAAGAAGTGTAGTCGGGGGAACTAACAAGAGTAAGAACCAGGGAAAATTCAATACAGTAGAGAAGCTCCAAGTCTAGGAAGCACTTGCTAAGACTGAGCACTGCAATGCCACTGAAGTTAGAATAAATGCCTTTCTAGAAACAAGGTAAGTGCTATTAATTACATGCCGATTGCACTGATAGCCTGCCCAACCATGTTGCCAAGGGCCCAGGCTGATTGGAAGATTGGTTTGGCTGTTGACAAACGGCCATGGTGTTGCAGGAGCTTGAAACTGCACTTACTCATGTGCGAGCATTACAATACTGTATTACATAAGGTGATGGTATAGGTGTGGACTTTGTTAGATTTGAATTTGGCTATTCGCAGCAAACCCTTGCAAATGTTTAGAACTTACAATACAAGAATAGCACACATCACTGATCTGCTCTAATTTCTTCCTTTGACTGATATTAATTCATTAATTGCATGCTTACTATATCATGCATTCAACAGAGTGAAAAAGTATTGTTGAGAGGTATTAAAGAAAATTATGGTTGTAAAGAAGCCAGGAAGTATGATATTTATAGTATGGCAGGTTGGGAGAACTGGGTACGATTGTCCTCCAGAATTTCTGTTTAAAACTCCATTAATTGCAGTCTGAAATTGTTTCCCTCCTTCCAAAACAGGTTAACCTGGACCTACTGTATATGCTTAAAATTAGATTAAAGATGTGAATTTTCTGTTAATAGATAGATCACACATTTAAAGGCATATAACACTTTATATTGAGATTCAGGGATACAAAATAGACAACTGGTTCGTGACGTGACTCTTTCATAAGAAAAAGAGCAATCTCTCTCTGTTGCTGTCACGTTATGGCTCTAGCCAGAGCCCTGAAATGAGGAATGTGGACTGAACAACCAGATTGTTAGTAAGAAGAGTAAAAACAGAGCTGTAGGCAATGAAAGTTGTACTCAGTATCATGATTAATGGCAGCAATTTTAGAGAAACAGCTGTGCAATTTAGGTAGGTTTCATCTCCCAGTGCCACCCTAAGATCTAATGTGTCTGGAAACAAGATTTACTTCAAGGTGTGTAGCTGACATCGCTTCCTTTTGTTCCTTGAGTCAAATCAAGCTCAAGAGAATTGTGTATGGTGGCGCAGGACTGAGGCCCTGGTAATTCTGGACCTGGGGTGCTACCTGCAGGAGTTTGTATGTTCTCCCCGTGTTTAGGTGGGTTTCAACCGGGTGTTCTGGTTTCCTCCGACAATCCAAGGACATGCTGGTAGGTTAGTTGACTTCTGAAAAAATGACTCTAGTGTGAGTAAGTGTGCATGTGTGTGTCTGTGTGTGCCCTGTGATGGACCAGTGTAGATATGCTGTAGGCTCCATGGATGTGGATAAGTGATTATTGAAAGTGATGGGATGATGAAGAGTTATTACAGGATGTAGTTCACAGCTAACAAAGTGAGCTTTGGGCAGGTGGGAAATAGATATACATGTAGGAGAAATGGAGAGTGGGCACAGAAGTGGAGGAATAAGAAGGGTGAGGAGAGGCATAGGTAGAGATAAAAGACTGAAGATACATTGAGTGGCACGGCAACAGTGAGAACAGTTACAGGGATCCAGTGGAAATATTGGAATAGTGGAGTAGCAACAGAAAAGAGAAGGTGAAAATTCTGGATGTGCTGGAATTTGCAGAGACATTTGCAGATAGTTACTATAGAACATTGACGGAAAGCGATCTTTAAATCATGCCACAATTGTTTGATTGGATTTAGTTTGGGGCTCTGACTGGACTATTCAAGGACATTTATCTTTTTGTTTCTTAGATACTCTAGTATTGCTTTGACTGTGTAATTCAGATCGTTGTCATGCTGAAAGGTGAACGTCTTTTCAAGTTTCAGCTTTAGGTTTTCTTTAAGGACTTTTCCATATTTTGATTAGTTTTATCCTGACAAATGCCCCAGTCCTGGCCAATCCTCATAATAAAATGGTGCCACAAGCATGCTTCATAGTAGGGATGGTGTTATTTTGGTGATATACCAATGTGCTATACAGGCTAGATCTGTGGAGTGCTTACGATATTGTTGTCACATTCACACTTTGACCAGTTATGGGCACAAATCCTCTAGCACTGTCAAAATTGCCATTAGCCACTTGGTAGCCTCTCTGATCAGTATCCTTGCCTGGTCATCAAGTTTGGAAAAATAGCCTGATCTAGGCAGGAGACCACTTCTTAATAATTGTTTTGACTGTGCTCCAAGGGATACTGTATTTAAGGCCTTTAAAATTTTCTCATACCCATTCTCAGATCTGTGCCTTTCCACAACTTTGTCCCTGGAGTTCTTTTGTAAGCTCCTTGGTGCTCATGGTTGAGTCTTTGCTTTGAAATTCTACAGTACAGGAACTTTTGAAATTCTCCTGAAATCACGAGAGAGTCGATTTTCTATAGGTACTGTAGCATAACCTCATATGAAATTGTGAAATGAATGACATATGCTGTGGTAGAAGGGGTATACACATACACAGATCTACAGTCACATGCTTTGGTCTCCTGTGAGTCAAATGAACTACAGTAATTCACTTAACAGAATAACTAAAATATTCTAAAATGAAAACATATTCAATATACGCAGAAGGCATATCATTAAATATACAATTTAGGAAATAATCATATCAGATATCGGATGGTAATATTTCCATATGAAACAAAGCAATACTGGGAAATTACTGTATATGTCCTCCTGTAAATAACTGCAAACATAAAAATGTCTTTGCATGTTAATACCCTAAATGAACAAAACAAAGAAACCTGAAATATGTGTAGATCCATTTATTGACAGGATGATTTTCCTTAAATACAACACAATGAAACAGAGATGATGAGTACATACAATGAAAAATAGTACAAAAAACATTCTTCCCTCCCCTGTATTAAGACAGAGACAATATGAATTGCCTTTCCCACCCAAAAGGTGAAATAAATATAAAATAAGAAACACATACTGATCACTGCATAACCCTTGAGTCAATACTTGCTATGAGGCAGGGGGTGATTGAGAATTCAGGATCGTGATGTTATGCCACACAGAGAGACAGAGAGTATCCCTAATTACAAAGCCATGAAATTGACATTTTCGGCGATGTGAAAGGTAACTGTATCAGCTCACTCTTGTTGTCTCTCTGGCCTTTTCTAGTCCTATAAAAACTGACGCAGCAGCTGTTCAGTGGTTCAGACCCATTAAAAAGATCTATTATCTTTTGCACAACAATTTAGCATTGCGCTGTAACTTTTTGTGCAGAGTGGAAACATATTTACCTCTTCTAGTGTGCGTTTCAATGTAGTCAGTGAGTCTGAATCAAGGGGAAAAACAAAAGGGGAAAAACAAAAGGAACGCACCAAATGAATACCCTTATTCATATCTGTCAAGTGTATTTTTAGCACCACTACTTCAACACCTAACATGAGGCATCTCTGGACACTGCAAATATTCCTAGAAGCAATATACCATATGAGCATGCATTCATTTAAATTACCCTAATTTTCAGAGGAAAAGTAGAGCCTACTACCTACAGTACCACAGAGCACCTGAATTGTATAAATAATCACAGCCTTGAGAGAAAATTTTGGTTTTGCATTTGTTAGTTGTTAGGTCAGTTTGTTCAGTGAATGACCTGCAGTCTGAGTCTTAAATGAAAAATACAAATATAGTCTTACATACTGGATTTATCAAATATTTTATGCTCTGTCAAAAGACATCAGATTGGTTATTATCAACATCAATGCAGGATATATCTTTTTTAGCAAATGTATTTACATTGCTTATTTTCTGGACTAACATTCAAAATATAGATTTGAATAATGCTGAAATTAAGTACCTAGGACTAACCTTCAGAAAAGTAATTCCCATTCAAAGTATACGGTTCATTTTTGCCCACTTTGTAAAGAATCTGGCCATTTCGGGTTACATTTTATATCACTTTACAATCCTCTCACATTGCCTTGTCTCTTATTTGAATTCTTCATTCATACCACAAATTTTAATAAAAGCTTTTGGTGAATAAATAAGAATATTAGGTTGCTAGATATTTTCTAGCTCTCTGACTGCACTGGATTATAAAATGTGCCACGTAACTGTTCCTATACATGTCAGACATCACGTGATGTAGACATGTCATCACCACAGACAAAATAATTATTTTAAAAAAATCTGTCCCTTATTTAATCTTCTAGGTTTGAATGCAACTGTAGAGGATAAAGTAAGTAATGTATCAACAAATAACAAAGTAACAAATTCCTAATAACATCCATCAGTTTTCTAACCACTTCAGGTCAATCAGCAGCTGCAAAGCCAGATACAACTTGGACAGGACACCAGTCCATTACAGGGCACACACAGACACAAACATACACACCTAGATGCTTATTTTCCCAGAAGTCAATTAACCTACCACTATGTGTTTTGACTGTGGGAGGAACCAGAACACCCAGCGGAAACCCACACAAACACCATACAGACAGGACCCCTGGTCTGGAATTGAACCCAGGACCCCTGTGCTGCAAGGCAGCCATGCCAGCCACTGTACCACCCAATTCTTATACCCTGAAACAAAGTTACAGGTAAGTATAAAAAATATCTGAACAACTCATGGAAAAATTCACGTGAATTATCTTAGAAAATTTCAAATGAAATATTACCAATCTGTGAAAAGTGACTGCACTTAAAAAGGAGATGTCTGTAAACTTGTATTCTGTGGAGCTAAAAGACTACTATAATCTTTACAAAAGTTGATGTGCATGCTGCTTAGGCAATAGTCTCTCAAGAAAACCAGGAATGGTTTAGATTTCTAGCTTCTACAAAGCCAAAAAGCAAGCATAAAGAATACTGAATGCATCAGAAAAACCTTCTTAAATCTTTTAAATGTCTTTGACGTCATCAATACTCAGCATTATCTGTTATACAGTACAACAAGCAAAGAGGTTCAAGGCATTTCATTCATGTATGGATCAATTTATTTATTTTCTTAGAACTTTCCATTGTAGGGTCAGTTCTGAATCTTACATTTAGTCCCCATAAATCCCCAAGTCCCCCATACCTTTGAAAAACAGACAGACATTCGGACGTTGCCTGTCACACAGCAATGAAATAAGTTGTTAAGTTGCATTTTTAAGATTACAGTGACCAAACTGAAAGAAACAAGATTCCCTTTGCTATAATCAAAGACTTACACAATGTATCACGTAAACCTTGATATTTGTTTTTTTCAATTTTGTTTCTACTAAGAAAAGAAATCATGAAGAAGCAAAAATAAGGAGTACAGAACAGTTTGGACACTGAGTCTTTGCAGATGCTGTAGGCACGACTACAAGCTGCATGCCACAAGGCAGAACAATAGTCCAGATGAATGGAATAAACATTTAGCAACACCTGCAACCTGTTTAAAATGAGTTATGATCATTCCACGCGGTATTCCTTTTTCACTTTCTTTTTACATTTTATAAGAGGTCAGTCCAAGCTACATGTGAAGCTTTCATGCACTTAAGCATGAAAAAAAAGGCTAAGACCCAGAGACTGAATGAGACTGGCTGAACCAACACAATTTGGATTCTGGCAGAGAGAAGCTGAAACATGCTAGAGGCCTGTGGTCAGGATTGACCTTAAAAAAGAAAGCCTTGAAAACTTTCTAATAGCCCAGCTCTTAGAATGCCACAAAGGATGTCCATTTCAAGCAAACTTGAATAACTTGCTTAACTGTTTTAACTGGGCAGAAATTCAAAGACAAGACTTGTTAAAGACATTAACCTGTCTTAGACCTTCCATATTCCTTCAACAAAGACAGAAAGAGTTCCAATAACACAATACTCAACTTAATGGCTTCTTTGCAATGTGAAAAGATTTAATTTCCTTCTTCATGGATACACTTCATTTTAAATAACAGGCTGATTTTCCCTTTTTCATGGCAGGCAGACCATGATGCCTGGGCTTTGGCAATTTGTAAACCAATGCCTATGGAGCGAGCAAACAGTAAAGAAAGAACATGGCTATGAATTTGGACCATCAGCTCTTCGAATGAACAAACAAAGCAGTATACAAAACACAAGAAAACAAGAAGTATAATTAAGGCGGTTAAAAATATTGCAAAGGATTTTGGCCCCTGTTTTGAGACAGACTGCCACAACAGTCAAAGTTCCCAACTCCTACTCGTTACGAAGGATCAAGAGCAGTGGAGAGAGAGAGAAAAAAAAAAGAAGAAAGCGATCCTCTTTGGAGAGAAAGCTTTTTTTTGGTCTGGGTGTTTTCCTCTTCAGAAGTAAGATGTTTAAAAGGGTATAGAAAACGTCCATAGAAATAAATTATTTAGAAAATCAAAAGATAAAATAAAAATTTGTTAACTTGTTAACTCCAGCAAGTTTACTAGGGCTTTGAGCGTGCAGAGGGAGTAAGACCTAGATAGTAAATGGTTTTGCCAAAGAAAGATCTGATGTGACGGAGGAAACTGTGCATCATGGAAGAGTCCAACCTGAAAACCTTCCCTGTAGAGATGCACATAGCAGATGGGGGGAATAATACATCAGCCCCCGTCAGGAAAGGCAAATTCCTGCTCCGCCACTAGGTGTGGGCAGTGCTGTAGTTCGCAGGTTATGTTTCAAGATACTCCACTGCCATGGAAACCCGCCGTCAGTCACACCCACTCCTGCATTGAGCGTTTGCAGTACAGTATGTGGCGGGGAGTGCCTTTCCTTTTAAACTGAAAGATGGTGTAGACCAGCACCAGCAGACACAGGGCCAGTATGCAAGGTATGACAATAGCAATGGCCTTCACAGTGCTGGCTGTGTTATCCAGCTTGATGACAATGTCCACATCGTCCTGCGGGTGGTGCTGCTCTGTCTCCCTCTCTGCTGAGTCGTCGCAGCCCATAAAGTCCTTGAGAATGGATCTGGGATAGCCTGGCTCCACGCGGAGATTTTGGTTGTTGAATTTCCAGTACTCTTTTCCTTTATAGAAGTATGTGAACCCTGGATTAGTAAAGGATGGAGACAAAATGCAGTTAGTTGAATGTCTGGTCATTCTATTTTAATATTAATAGACACAACATTTACACAATATACACAATATTGTTTTCCTTCTTTTGTTAACTCAATAAAGTGTACGTATTTATATATTCATTTACGGACATCATCCACAATGTAGCATTTTCTTAGAATTCATTGTATGGCACAAGTGAAAATAAAGCTTAAAAGTCATGTGAAATCTCTTGAAAAAGAAAGAGCTGTGGTAGTGGCTAAGGTAAACTGGGATAGGGCTGGAAAGTCATATAAAATAATTATAAAATATTATAGCAACTATCTTATAAACAGAAGAATTCACCAGCATTTCTGTCAACATAAGTAAGACATGTATCCTATGAACGCTATGAATCCGATAGCATGCAGAAAAAAGAGGTCATGTAATGTAATTTACATTAATTGCAGACAATATAAGGCAATTTAGTCTACTACAATTTTGAAAATGTCAGTTTATGCTAGTAACTCTTTCAGGTGTCACTGTCCAAATTATTTCTTAAAGAAATTGAGACACCCTTCAAGCTTAGATGAATGTCTGTGCACCATTGGAAAAACTGGCAGTGATAGTAGAACATATGGTGCCAGCTTCCTTCCTGTCAGTCTAGAGGTCCTGCTGTGCTTGAGAATGTTGCCTCTCAGAATGTCCTGTCCCAGCATTTTAGCCTGTGTCTAGCTATAGGCACTCACAGACCTCACAGGCACTCATAGACCTAGGAGACTGTCTTCCAGATTTATACCAGCACACTGTACTGTACTTCCTCAGTCCAAGCTCTTACTGTTGAATGTTTCTCTATTCACTACCCTTACTTTCCTCATGAATCACAGAATATCTGCAATATAACTCTCTACTGGGTTAATGTCAGAGGCCTAATTGTCTGTAGAAATTTTCACTGTAAAATTTGAATTGTGTAGATTGTGTAACTGTGTAATTGTGTAGCCTTCCAGATTACTTAAATCCAAATAATCCTGACTGGGTTTCCAATGTAATTTAATAAACAAAACAAAACAATAACAAAACAAAATACATAACAAATGAAAAATTAAAATTAGCATCAGATGTCCCTGGTATGACCTAGAATCTTCATTCTAATCTTATTATTATCATTATAATTATTATAATCTTCATTCTTTATTCTACCTGATCCCTTACTTCTACCAATGAGCTACATCCTACAAAGGACAGCAAATCGTACCATTAACTTTATCGACAAAAGCACCCTGAGGAGAGTCTGGGATTCCTTTCCACACAGTGATGGGCTTTGGGTAGCCAGGGTCCATCGCTCTCATATCTTCATTGTACCTCCAGTACCTGTACAGCACAACGAGCAGCAACACGTTAACACCCCATTGCAGTCCCCAGTTAACAGTAAGATTAAACTGCCTCAGCTGTTCCAGCTTCATCTCTCAAGTCATTTAGGCCCCAAGCTCAGTAACACAAGTCACTGATATCTGTGAGGTCAAACATTTTTTTCTAAAACTGGTATTCTCCATTGTGTCCCACTTTTCTAATTGCAGGATTTTTCCATGGTGCAGTAGCACAAAAACACACCATCCATATTTTCAAGGAACACATAAAAAGTGCCCTAACCTATAGTTTGACAGGAAACCCTAGAAAGACTGTTTTTTTGTGAGATTTCAATACAGACCTGTCACCTTTGAAGAAATAGGTCTTGGCCACATCCTCCCACCAGACAGCGGTCTCTATACCCTGGCTTGGCATTCCCTTTCCAAACTTTGACAAATCTTGAGGGTAAGTGGGCTGAAGAGTTGTATCCTTAAACACCCAGAATTTGTTACCTAAAAGAGTGTGAATCATGATTATAAATATTCATAATAATATCTGATTTATACATAATATAATCATAATGACCCATCAAGAGTCAGTACAGTGAACATTATATAAGAATGTAGTTTGTTACAAAATTGACATATTGATATTTCTGTTGTCAAAATACACAGTACTGTAAATTCCCTGGAGTTGCTAGAGTTCCTAACTGAGTAACAACAATTTGAGCAAGATCTGTGCCAGACTTGTGTGCGAAATAATAAGAAATACAATAGTTATTGATAATATTTTTCTAATAGCAGATGAGACGCTAACATTTCAGACTTTCAGAGTGTACTGTAGAATGGAATTATTCCATATCATGCTGAAGCTTCCTCAGTACAATTACAGTATTTTTTGACGAGTTTGGTTCTATAAAGTGAACTAATAAGGTAAAATTATTTTCACAGCCCATATCTGGATATCTGGGGAATTCTAGTAGCCTACTTTGAGAGTAAAAAACAATAAAAAAGGTGTTTTATCCTTATGTGGTCATGCGGTTATAGAGAACAACAGAAATGTTCACAAATCAGTAAATGGTAAACTTCTAATTCTAGCAACGAAGGAAATGCTTCCCCATTTGGTACATTTTTAAACAGGCAAGACATTGCTGGTGAAAGTATAGGGGACTGTATACAAGTTCTCCTAAACCAAAAAACCTCTTAAGCTTCTGTGATCTGCTGAACAAAGCAAAGTGAAAGTGCAGGAAAGCTTTCACATTCGACTAAGAGACAGCTTTGATATTTTGTGTTCCTAGGAGTCCCCAGATCCTCAGGAGGCATGAAACCCTCTAAAGTAAAGGGTAGACAGCATCACCTTTATCCAGACAAATGTTTGGAGCATTCCTGAGGATCATTTTTGAACCAGTTTATGTATATTTTCACTGTAAATACTGTAACTACTATGTGAGGCCAGGTGGGCGGCGAGGAACTCCATAATATCATGTGGTGTGCTCAGCTAGTGCTCACCCTGCACATCTGGTCAGCAAGATTCTGTCCAAGAGATCTTATTATTACAGTACATCTTTAGCAACATAAGTCATAACAAACTTTCAGGTTTTATTGAGCATGGTTTCTAGCTTTTTAATCACATTTTTCTGCAAAACCCCATTTCTGTTTTTCTAAAAGTAGGCCATGCTTATATTCATGTTGGAAGTAGAGGAGAAACAAAACACTGAAGCACTTCTGAAAACGTACTCATCAAAAGGATTAAGAAACAGACCCTTATTTTCAGAGAAGAAAAGAAAACTAGGTTACTCCTGTCTGTGGATTTTTTTCCAACATAGATTTAATATAACACTGGAGAGATATCCCAAAAAACAGCCAGAAAGTCCTCACACAACCAGGAGAACTGCACACACTGTCTGGGCAGGCCTTGAAGAACAGCTGTTTAAATAGAACTGGCCCAGTTGGGAAGATAACTTTCTAATAAACTGGCAAACAATGAAAGTGATTATAAAAAATAAAATGGAACTCTACATCACATTAGGGTTCAATTTATGCCCCTTTCTTTATTAATCCTAAAATTACACCTAGCCTACTTTAGTGAGATTTCAAGGAATGTGTCTGGTATATAATCTACAGTATGACCATTATTTTAGAGAAGTGTGCATATATTTTTCTCAAGAAACTACTGTATAGTATATTGCATTTATTTACTTTTTCAGAGTATAAATATATTTAAGAAGTATGTTCACCTAACAGTTGGAATCATAAATAAATAATACTTTGCAGATCTAAAACATTAAAATATTTGAATTCAAGAATTATTAAAAAAAAAATTCTAACTCCATAAGGGGACGTTCACACTCATTTTGCTGTGACTGCGTGATTTTAAAAGATGCAGGTCCAAGAGTAGCAAAGCAATGGATTTAGGCATGTTATTAAAAGGTATTTTGATCTATGCTGGATTATGGTGAAATTAAAGTTAGGATTTTTCTCCCACACATAAACCACTTATTCTCCTCATATACTCACTAATATTGACCATAGGAACCATTTTTATAGAGATTAACAGCCATATTTGATCCGGCTAGACAACAGGTCCCAGATTAGCCTTTGACATTAATCATTGTTATAGTCTACTGAAGATAAATCCTGTTACTTAAAATACAAAGAAAGTGAGCCTACAGGGGTAACTGAACAAGCACAAGGATTTCAGAGTCAGAAATAATGGGGAAAGATGCCTCTTAGAGTCTGATGCTGAACTTTACTCCTCTGAGTAAATGCTTGAAGTAAACACTTCGCCTAAATGCTTGAAGTAGGAAAGAAAGGTGTGCAGTAAATGTATACAGTAGGTTTTTATTAGCATGAATGTACAAATATATACAAATACGTGTGAGGAATCTGCTCTTAAAATGGTTTGTCAATAACTTGAATGCTGATAAGTGTGAATGACGTAGCTCAGTAATAATAATCCGGTAACACCACAAAGTAATGCCATCTATTTACATTTGAAATCAACAGATTTCAGTACTCCACCCTTGACATCTTAACACTTAGTGTAAATTGTATGTATGGATTATTATTACAATCTTTACTGTAGATTGTAAATGTATGGATTATATTCTAGTGGATTTGGTTAATAAAATCTCAGTTATTCAGAAGTAAAGCCAGTCTATAATGTTAAGAATCTCTACAGTAACCCCAATCACTTGATTAAAGCTAAAATAACATGGTTATTACTAGTTGTCATATTAATATTTTAATTCTTCTCTTGATGTTCTCAAAATGAGAAGGAAATATGGAAGATTAGTACTTTTTTTCATCTTCAAAGTATTGCCTTGAAAAACATGATAGGTTTGCATACTTGCTCTTACCTTTGAAGAACACAAACTTTCCCTCGCTGTTTTCATACACTGCGTCAATCTTAGGAGGCAAACCCCTCCAGAAGTAGGCAATTTGCATGGGGTAGCCAGGCATCACAGCATTGTCCCTCACTCTCCAGAACCACTGATCCTAAAAACAAAACAGAAACCGCTATTCAAATACTGTTCCAAGACACCATCCTTCTCAAAAAACATCAAGATCTCATCCCTGCAGTACTTTAAAGAGTGACATGCAGTACACCAAAAAACAGATAATGGAATGAATTAGACATTGGTGACTTCTCTTTACATAGGAACACATTCCTGTTCAGAAATGGATTTAGAACTGCCTTTAACGTCAATATACATTACTTGAAGCAGGCTTTCTCTTTGCTATTGTCTCTATGTGACTACCCAATGATGATATGGCATCATCAATGCAGGCTAGAAAAGAAAGTTTCTCTAGAAAAAAAATAGGGGAAATAACAGTGCTATGCCACTTTCAGGAATAAAATCACCAGAAACACTCCTTTCTTGTCTGGGTGTTCAACAGCAAGGAGTCTGTCACAGACATTCAGTTAGTCTCGCTGAGTACAGAGCCTTTTGCATAACCCAGGAGATTTACTGGGCCTTGAGGAAAACGGAGTGCCCTGGCTGAGCTGTGCTTTGCATGCAAACCTCACTAAATAATTCACAGCTGCCTCTGGATGGGTGGTGCTTTGACTTGATACAAAATAAATAGCAGTCTTTTCTCCAGAGAACTTTAAAGCAAATCCAAATCCAAGCCAAGGCTGGAAACTAAAGTAGAAAACTCCCCATAACACTCTCTCCCATGCAAGTGGAAGAGCAAAGGGAGATGATGGAGGAAACTGGTTAAATATGTGATGTACTTCAAGAGCCAACAAAGCCAACAAAGAAAAAACGTGGACATTAAAGACTAAGGCGTGTCATTTTTCCAGCCCAGCTCAAGATATCAAATTCCTGCCAAGACTCACAGGAAATGTGAAATCCAGCTGCAAAAATCATTCTGGATCAGAAAGAGTCACTCCACCCTCTTTATAGATATTGCACACTCACTTCACGTAGTAACAGTAAGATTGTAGTACAGTATATTGAAAAGTCATCACTTTTGCAGATTTTTGTAGAGGAGCTCCCACTCTCATGTCACTTCCAGAAGCCAGATGCTAAAGCCTAGCACTACACTGACAGCCATTAGTTTATTTTTTCTTTGGACAGCCTGCAAACTAACCGAAAACAGATTATTATATGAAATTTGAGGTCATACTAATTCCTTATGGTATAAAAATGAAATAAATATGCTTCAAATTACAAATACACGCCATCCACTGCTAACACACAGAAACCCAACCAAACAGCTCAGAACAGAACACCTGCCACTTAATTGGACTAAAACTTTAGTTTTCACTTTTTTGTAATGTTTCTGTTGGAGAGAAAATACAGGAATCCAAGAAAGGTGTCCTCTACATGCCATGCATTTCCCCTGCCTGTGTCACCTGGCCTACACCATCTGACCACTGTGCTAACTGCATTTAGGGAATTGTCTTTTATTAGAAACAATGTCTCCCTCAAACTCAAACTAATTTCTTAAACTTTCTACAAAACTAAGCTAAGTTAGAATTTTAATTGTTAGTGATATCAATGTTCAGGCTTTTTATTCTGTTCCTTGTTTTACAGTACCTCCAAATAATGTTTTGTTTTAAAATTGCATTTTCTTATTTGGTCTTATTTGTTTTTCATACTGGATTACTTTACAGTTTCTGAAGATATTCCTTAGAGATAAGTAGCAATGAGTCTCATTTAAGGCCAGCATTATGTTTTCAGTCCCTTGTACAGTAACTCACAAAAAAGGTGAAAAACAACACATACCGTATATAGAGATAAAAATGCAACCCCATGTAACACATTCCTATTGCACTTCTTAGAAACCCATTTTAAAAGCTGCTTTTGCTTTTAAACAACCAGATGTTAAAAGTTATAACTAATCAGCTAAGTTCAGCTTTTTTTCTGGAGTCAAGACAAACCTTCAAACTTTTGTTCAGAACATCTATAAAATAGGTGGATTTGGCAAGCTGTTCTAATAGTATTCAGTCCTCTGTCTTTACAGATTTTGTAAGCATCAAAAAAGAAAAAGCAACACAATAGCAATATTTAACAGAAATAATGTACAAAGCAAAACTAAGTGACTGACAAATTACTTGTTTAACCTCTTAAGTGGCACTAGCAGAGAAGGATAGGAGAATAATTTAAAAAATCACCAGGTCTCAGGATCTGAAATCTTCTTTTATGAAAATAGTATCTCAACCTCTCTGTTGAGTAGACAGAAACAGGGTTTCAGGTGCTTTTACGTATATACTGTACTGTATGTCAGTCTTTTAAAAGCAAAAAACAGAATGTGGCACAGTACTATATTTTATTACATTTTACAGCTCTTACTAAAAACATTTATGCTCAAAATTGAAATTGTAATGTATGAATAGAAATGATTCCATAAGCTGTGGAAATACAAATGGAAAAATGAAGACATTTCTACAAAGACTCTTTCTGCTAAATTATTATGTAGCTGTCAATGGCAAGTCTTCAGTGGTTACTATACACATTAGTATACTGAAGTGTTCATGTTTATTTTCAACACTGTAAGAAGATTGAATGTACTAAAATACTCAACAGAAATTAGGTATATTGTTCTTTCGTGACTCTTCTGTGAGTTTAGAACAGAATGGATACACTATTTCAATCAGTACAGTATTTGCACCTGGATTTGTGAAAGCCAATGTATTGAAATGGTGTAAATGTGCTAACTTTGTACAGGGCTGTAAGACCTTGGGCTTGTGCTTACCAAAGTGTCACAATCAGTCCCATGGGGAACCTCTGAGAACATGCACACTGTAACTGTGAGATGAGAACAGCTTGCTTGTGAAAAGATATGTGAGTGACTTTACTTGGTGCTCACAATTAAAATAACACATGCATAAAGGAAAAAGCCCAGGGGGAAACTAAAACACTTTGCCAGGTTATGCTGCTGAAAATAGAAATGAGTGATAACAACTAGGAATTGAGTGACAAACCATCTAAACATCAAACTTGTGTTGAGAGAGGAAGAAGAGGCACTGATAGGGGCACGAAGAGCTGCAGCGAACATGAAACAATGCAGTTACTGAAAACCCCCGGAAAACAACCCAATCATACAATCACAATATTTTATATCTGAGTAATTAAACCATTTAAAAAATGAAAAGGAAACCTTTGTTGGCATTTAAGGCCTTAGTAAAGGGATAAACCATGTTCACAAAGCCTTCACCATTAAGGATCATTAACATTAAATCCATTGCATCTCCAAAAATAAAATCTGCATGCTATTCAGACTGCCTGAGTAATCCCTCACCTCCTCAGTACATACTGTGCAACAGCTGTATTATCTACTCTCTTTTGGATTAAACCAAAAATTGCATATACAGTACTTATACTTGACCATCTGCATTCATTACAAACAGGTTTAATTAAACTTGGTGATAACTATAACGTGGTATTGCATACATTTTGTGCACAAGCTGTTACTACTGCTGTTGCAGCTTCAGCTTTCCAGACTTTCTTCTCACACAGCAGCAACACTCAGAATTCACATTGTCTGCACTAAGTCTGTCCTCAGGATTAGGAAGGAAAGTGGTTTCTATGGGTTTTAAATCTGGCTGCCATGACAAGCCATCTACTTGCATGAGTTCAAAACACAGTGTTTCCTGCTCCAACAAATGAAAGGCGTAAAACAAAGGTGTCTGGCAAATTATTAATTACTACCTTCCAAGAAAAAGAAATGTTTGCAACAATACACTTTTCTGGTGACGCACGTTGTATACAAAACCTAAATTATAAAGCATTCCAAGTATAAGGTTTTTCATCATCGCTTATGTCATCAGCATCCTACTCAGGGAACCATTCACTCTGTATTGAATGTAAATTCCCCTTTTCTAAAGAATCTTTCATTCTTTTGCAACTACAGTACATTGGTATGTCTTTCAGTCCCACTATGGCAGTATAAATTCCTGGATATGAATGGAAATACTTGATTTAATCCATTGATACATTCCTACCTCTTGCTTTGTAATAAAACATGTTGTACAATAATACTATATATATATAAAATCTGAAGATCTGTAATGGTACACACTGTATGAACCAGATAAACCAGCTGAAATGTACTATATGGTAACACTGTATATCAAATGAAAGGCTGTCTTTCTTTTTAGAACATAGCCCCTTGCAGTGGATGTTGACAAGTCAAATGGCCTTTTGCCTTTAATAAGTGAACATTCCTAACTAAGAATCAAAGGTTTATTTATGAAATTTTTCACTTCATGGGATGCATGTGTGAAATATATGGAAAGGAAAGTCACTGAATCTGCCACTGAATCTGAATGAAGAAGGCTGCCACCAGAGGAATTTTTGAAATCTGTTTTGTTTGAGGCAATAAAGGGGTCTAAGTCTTTACTTTATTGTGTATTAATCCATTAATCTAACTAAATGTTACAATTTAATCTGTTAAAAAGGCTTGGCTGTAGTAAAAGCAAAGTGTTTTTTTTAATTAAGCCTCTAGCTCAGTGTTTCTTTTCCTTTTAATCCTTTTAACTTTCATTACAATGTGGCCTCAATTAAATTAAATGTTAGCACTTTGAAGAAAAGTCCTCCTTCAAACTGAAAAGATGTCAGACACTGTTTATGTAACAAACCAATAGAGGTCTGTTCCATTTTCTACCCTTTTAATCTCTTAGGTTATTTCATAGGTCCTCATTTCAATTGACCTTTGTATGCACTTACAGTCTCCATTTCCTTTCAGTCTAATGCTAGAGCCCCAGATGGGGACAATTTCAAACAGAGTAGACAGACTTCAGATTGAGCAGTTTTCTTTCTATGGTTAAATTATATATTCAGAGGTATGTATATAATTCAAATGTGTTAAATGACGAATTATATTTTAACAAACATCAAATCGTCTGTAAAGGGAAGCGCAATGATGCACAATATAACTACAGACAAAGCTGCACTGTTGATATTACTGAACACCTTTTGAAGGTTTGCCTTTGGTGTGCTCAACTGATTAGGAAAACATAGGTAAGGAGAAAGACTTCTTTCTATCTTTGTCAAAAATGTACAAAACTGCCACTGTAGCAAGAGGAGGCCCGAGTTCCCTTGTTCACACTAAGTGACATGTACTGTAGTAGACCCTTAACTCCAACTCAGGGCTTTTCCAATGTTAACTAATGTGCTCACTTTTGCTGCAGATTTCACATTAGATAGTTAATCTTAAACGTAATCTTATTTTCATTCTTGTCGTTAAGCAAGACAACTTTAGGAATAGCATACTTTCTGATGAACGTAGGCGTGGACTGTCACTGACTTATTGCTGCTTGGTAAATGTGAGATTAAAATGTCATAAGAGAAAGAAAAGCAATATGTGGGAGTTTCAGACAAAGGACAGATAACCTCTTATATAACAAACATATGATTCACAGACTGCATGTCCCTTTGCCAGCCATCTGAAACATATCTGATAAATAAGAAGTGGAAAGTCTATCAGTCCATGCTTCAGTTACACAATCAGATTAATAGGCTTTCAAATTTCCTGTATTTTTGTTTCTTGAAAAGTCATTTTCTTTCGGCTGCCTGATCACTCCAGCCAGACTGCAGAAGAGGGGGTTTTGTTGCTCTGGCTTCGGGATGAGGAAATTCAAAGTCTGACCGGGGTCACAGAGCTGCTAACAGACTCGGGCACTTTTCCTGAAATGAATTTCCTGAACCTTCACATTTCACCTACTTTCAATCTCTCTAAAATCATGATATAACTTTCAAAGATTAAAAGGGCATAAAAAAGCATATCGTTCTTCTAAGCAGATGGATAATAGTTAAGGTGTTGTAGTCACAGTACTCTAATGTAGTCCACCTTGACTTAAATATCATTAATAATGTATGAGTTCCTTTCATATTTACAGTCTACATTTTTAGAAACCTTTCAGAATGAAAAACATGACTGCAAAAGGGAATGTTAAATCTCCTGAGATAACTGGTGAGCTAGAGAATCTTAAAGAAAAATATGAAATGCTTATGTAAAGAGGGACCATCAGTGATGATGGTCTACACCAGCGAATCAGCAGACGTGTGGATGAAGCTAGCCCACACAAAATATTAAGTGAACCTACACATACTGAAAAACATATTAACCTATTCCTTAAACCTCCTGTACTACCCTCATATAGACGTCCCATTCTGGGAAAGTGAAATAAGAAGAATAGAAGGGAAAGCACTGAACAAAAACAGATAACCTTTATTAAAAACATAATCAAAGTGTTGTTTTCAGTAACAGTCTCTAATGGAAGAAAAGCATCTTATGACACTAAATGACACTAAAATGTCATGATGGTGACACTATTAGTTTCCACTAATGTGTGTGGGTATGCCACTGTATGGTAAGAATGTAATCACATTGAGAATGGTTTCTACATCCCTCCTACCTTGAAGACAAACATCTCTCGCCGCAGAATAGCCAATGTGTTGAAGCTGCCATCACAGATGTTCGGCTTGGCACTGGGGTACGAGGGTCTGTCTCCTGTGGGGAGTCTTGGGGGTCGGGTCTGCCGGTCGTGTTTTCGGGGGTCAGAGGGAGGGTGGGAGCGTGGGGGTGGGGCAGTAGGGAGGGGCTGCGTAGGCTGGGGAACCTTTTCAGGTGGACCTGAAAATAGCAAGAAACATAAAAGAAGGCCTGTCAGACAACTGTCTTAAATACTGTATGCACACTACAGTACGTCTTAACTTTCGATCAGTGGGTTCATTTAGGTACTGCTTGTGTTTTCCATATGGATAAAGGAACCCTGCAGTTTATCTAACACTGGAAAATGAGTTGATTGTTATGAGATAAACAGGAATTATTTCAGGAATTATGAAGCAGAATTTCTTACTGTGCAATTCTGTTTTATTGAGGGACCACTGCACAAACTTTTGCTGTTGAGAATGTACCGGTACTCAGCGATTTTTCATAGTGGAAACAATAAATCCTGCACCTGTTCACCAAATCTCCTGTAGAGATGTGTAGAGATGTGTAGAGTGTAAATGACACACTAACTCTTCTGTCCCTGCTGACTCAGCTCAAGTGCTACCTTGCCTTGCTTCACACACTGCTCCCTGGAGAAAATAAAGCCATGGTCTTCCTGCATCCTTTCACTTTTGTCTGACAACACAGAGTCACATACTTAACCCCTTCACTTCCCTCAAAGTCCTTGCTACATAATGGGGAGGGTGAGGCTTGGCAGCTATTCCATTAGCAGAATAGTGACAGCTGTAATAGTGTAGGCTTACCAGGTCAAGGAAATCACTACTGATTAAGAGAAAACTTTAGAAAGAAAGTACTTATTATGTCTCATTCTTTCTTTTCATAATTCATCAATGCATAATGACCAATGGATACAATTACCAATTGCAAAAGTACAATGACAATGAAAAAAGAAATTTAAACCAAGCAGAGAATTCTGTCTAAACAGATCACAGTATCATTCATAATGCTTTCAAAAGTAGTTGACTTCATTCAAAGAATAATGTAATAATTGCTATAGAAGTAAATTCATATCCAGGTACTCTAGGCACACATTTAACCAAAAATATTAAATATCACAATATATAATTAATCACATTTTAATAAATGTACTACCTTTTCTAAGCCTTCTTAAATTATGCACTCTTAGTTTATGAAAATTCAACCTATGTCTGAAATTCTGATGTCACAGGACCATAGAGCATAATCATATCCAAGTTGTGACTAAAAGCTGTGATTGAGAAAGCAACATATGATATTGCAAATGAGAAGAGGCCATTCAGCTCATCTTTCACATCTGGTAGTTTAGTAGGTAAGTGAATCTAAATATCCATCCTGCTATTTCTTAAAAGAGCACAGAGTCTAGCCTTAAACAGCTGCTGGAAAACCTGGTCCAGATACCCAGAGCTCTCTGCCTAAAGAAGTGTTTCCTATTTTCCACCTTGACCTTGTGTCCGTGTTACACAATTGAGTATGAAATAATCTCTTGAGATGACTTTATTGATACCGCTAAGAGTTTATAAGTTTAGATAAAATCTTATCTCACTCTCCTTTGTTCTATACTTCTCTTAACCTGTTTGTATATGACAATCCCCTGAGATGAGGCAGCATTCTTGCTGCTCTTCTTTGAACTCCTTCTAAGTCTACAATATCCTTTTTGAAGTACAGTGTAACAGAATCCAAGGTTTGCTGTGGGATAGCAGGCAGCTGCTGCAGTGTAATATAATAGACACTAATTTCCCAAAGCATCAGGGGACAGTTGTGAACATGTTGATGGCTCTGGGACAGGAGGTTTTTTGCATGGAAAGCATAACGTTTGCCGAGTGTATTTCATGCTCAAGCATATATCATTTCTTACACTCTCTAAAGTAATACCACAGTATTGTTACTGTCACCATCCTCTCCTCCAGGGGGCACTCCAACCTCCATATGTTAGTCCATTGAATTATTACCTGCATTATTTCCTGGTGTGCCTTGTTTTAGTTTTCCTACTTAAATTTACCCCTTCCTGCCTTTGGAGCTCAGCTTTGGTACATGGTAGCTCGATGGCCCGCCTAGTACCAGGTCACCCCATATCCGTGGCTTGAGGGCATAGGCCTATTTATGCTCTCCGACCCACTGAGCCCGGGGCTTGGAAGGGGAGCCCCCTATTTCCTGGATTCTCATCTTGTCTTGTCTGTGTTCCTGTTCGTCTGTGTCTCCTGATTGATCTCCCAGCAATGGACTTATGGACTTCCCTTTGAACTTCCTTGGATATGTTTGCCTACGGATTTTCCCCGCAAGTCTGCACGAACCTCCCTACTTCACTGTGAGCACCAATAAACCCCATGTGTCGTTCCTGAACCCTGTCTATGGTCCTTTTTCTGGAATCGCCACTTCGCATAGGGTCTAAAACATCACCCTCCACAGGAGACCGATTTGGCTTCCGTGACAAGTATGACTACAAAACCTGTCTTCTCAGAACAGTGGGGATGTTTCTCAGAGCAGTTCCACTGGACATCCAATCCCTTGCAGATTTTCAAAAATATATGTAACCCTTTGATTTTTAAAATAACATAGTTGAATAATTAATCAATTAGTTCAATTAAGAAACTGAGTGCATAGATAAGATTGAACCAGACACCTCTGTTGATCTTGAGAACTATTCAAGGAGGAATCATTCAGAAGACCAGCTAGATCAGTGATTGCCAACTCCAGAATTACTGGAGGTGCTGGATCAATTGTTGTTTCTCTTCCCAAGTTCTTAACAGAAGGGGGTGTTACTGCCTGGTTGGGGTTCTTATTAGATAACCTGCAATAAAATGATACTGCATACAGTATATGTTTCTGTGGTTTCCTGCAATACCATCCATTTCACAAAATTGTTTCAAAATGTAAGGGATGGTGGGATGTAAGATAAAGGCTGAAAAACACTGAGAAAAGACAAGTGGGCCTTTTAAGTTCACCCTTTTCAGAAGGAAAGGTGTCACACTTTATGTTGTAAAAGTAAACTACAGTATATATTTAAACAAATTTACATTTGTTCAGTAATATTAGTTTCCATCTTTTATGTGCAGAAGCATGATGCCACAATCCAATAAACATTTTCAATCTTTTCATGGCTTAAACTGTTTTCTGCAGCATTAATACTAACATTTTTTCATTGAAAAAGGAATAGATTCGCAATTACTTTGAAATTAATACATTAGTTGTTTAATAAATTACAATTTTAATTTTTCAGTTAATGAATAATTAAAAACGTTACTAAATGTATGCGGTAAATCCAGACCATTCAGAATAAACTATATTATGTATCTGTTTAAAACACAAAAACAATGACATAGAGCAGTGCTGTTTTTTTAACAGTAAAATAACAGGTTGTTAATCATATCTTTCCACTTCCAGTAAAAAATGATAGAGCTTTAATCATATTTAGAAAAAAACACTCAAGACTAATCCCTGCTAGAGAGGAAATATATATTTATAGCTTGAGTGGACAAAATTATTACAAATCACTTCATCCTGAGCCAAAAATTCAAAGACATTACAACCAATTACTGACCCAAATAGCTGGCTAATCTCTACTGTTTATTTTATTAAATCAATGATTATGTAACTCAGGCATTCAAACTGCATGTCTGATGCACAATAATCTGCCAAGTCAGAATCCTCTCTGCTCATTGCATTTCTATACTGACTGTAGTGCTATTCTTTTCTCTGTACTGATCATAAAAACTAAAACTGCAATACATTCACTGATTGATTTATGTCTCTTTAACCACAATAAAAGCTGCTAAAAAAGCAATCTGCACTTCAAATGATATTACTGTATGTAACAAAGGAAAAAGTACACAATAGCTGTCCGTCCTCCACTAAGTAGAGAAACTAAATCATTAAAACCGCAGCGAGAACATATTTATGAGCTATCACAAATGTACAGCGTGATGAGATGGTGCTCTCAAATGGTGTTGCACCAATTGCATTCAAAGTGTTGTGCTATTCTGGGTAAAGCTCAGTGGAATGTTTTAATAGTCTTCTGCAGAGATGAATAAAAGGGACAAAACAAACATTGCCCATGCTCGATCAATACTATTCTGGCAATCCAATGCCATACTATTCAGCTCACAGAGATTTTGTTGCAGAAACAGTATCTAAATATCTATCCCTTCCCCACCCCCTTCCTTTATTTTTTCCCCTCTTTGCCTGGGCAGCTGAGGTTCTTTGGTCTAAGTCATCTCCAGTCTTTACACTATTTCCAGTGCCTTTCATCAACAGCGTTGCTACCTATCTAGCCAAGTTGAAGTCGTGAAAAGTGATCATCAGCCAAGGGCTGTCGCAGGAAAACACAAACACACTTTGATTTAACTAGGCTGCAGCCCATTACACACCATGGGCCAGATTTACTTGTGCTGTTGTTCGATGATTCATACTTTTCTGGTTAAGGGGGGCTAAATTAAACTATTGCTCATGGTAAAAAGAAGAAAACACTGGTGCATAAAGAGCCTGTAAGAATGTTCAATATTCTAAACATAAGGATCAAGTATAATTGATAACTAAAGCCACAAAGGGCAGAGGTACAGTATGCAGTAGTAATAAGGACTGTGATCAGGAGGGTTGTGGGTTTAAATCTTAGCCCTGATGCTGTGGTTGTGCTTTTGAACAGGTAGTTCACTTCATTCTTCAAAATACTTGACAACTTGTTCTCATTAGACTTGTCTGGTTAAATAAGAGACTAAACTGAAATTCAGGCTTATTTGGGGTTTAATTAAACACTGTCACCCTTTTTCAGAACTGTGAAGAACAAGCATTTTGAGGTGAAAAAGATCCCCTGTGATTGGTAGCACAGCAGGGAAATCTGCACATAAAACCATCACTTTTAAAGGGACTAGATGTGGCAAACAGACCACCCAGATGTTATGATGCTTTCTCAACCTAATTTTACTCCAAATGATGCCACGCCTACAGTAGCTCCCACTTTTACCCTATAGTAACATCTACATCACTCAGTCTAACCCGTTTGGCCAGTTCTTCCAATCACTATGGAAGAAAAATATGCCTTCCTTCTTACCAGCAGTAGGCGCAGCCACAACCGAGGCTGTTAATCAGAATACGAAATAATTATTTTAACCTAAACTGTAATTTTTAAAACTGTAAGATTTAATCAAAAGTTTTAAATCCCAATTTCTTCACAATGTTTCAAATGATCTCAACCTAAGATCTTGGTGTTTCACGGTCAAAGTATCAGTGACTATTTATAAGAAACATGCGTCCACACATACTGTATAGCCAATTCCTTGAGATAATGCTGCTTGTGGAATGTTTAGTTGCAATCCTCTGCAGCTCCACCCTATTTTCAGGTACAAAATGTGTCTGAACTTTTACAGTTAGAAAAAGAGCAATTCTGGATTCTTTTCCAAAATTATGAGAATGGGTTTTAAAACCTGATATTTTTGCTTACTATTCAAGAATAAAAATGAAGGAAGAAAGGAGACAGATGAAATGAAAGCAAAGGCATGGAAAATAAAAAAATAGAGGGAAAAGATGAAGAAGAGGTAGACATGGTAGAAACTGACAATCGTTTCCACACTTGAAAAAGCCCATATGACAATTATTTTAAAAAGAAATAGAACAAAGCTATATGAGAAGTCAGAAGGTCAGACTTGAAAAGTCTGAAAGGCTGTGACTCTGATGAGGTACCTTAATGCACAATTATTTGAAAAAAACAATTCCAGAACCTGAATACATTGTGCATTCCCTGAGGACAAACACAAGCAGTGTTTCCATGGTGACTGAAAGTCCCTGGAGCTTTTGGATGAAGATCAGCTTTAGATAGAGGGTGTACTGATTACCATTAATCAGCACCCACACAGATCAGCTTTATGCTGCATGATGCAATTACATCTGATTTCATACCATATATCTTCTGTATTCCCTGTAGGTCGTCATAAGGCAGTTTGAAGTTCTCAGTATCCATGTACTGGTAGAATGGGGCCATAATAGCAGTGGGATCATTGGAGTGTTCAAGGCCAAGAGCATGACCCAGCTCATGAACTGCCACCAGAAACAAGTCATTACCTACAGAAGAACAAACAAAAAAGAAAGCAGTCAGAATTATCATAAATTCTATCTCAGCTATGACAGCTTGATATGTACAGCCAAACAGTGCAGGCATTAGATTGGTTCAGTAATAACTATGCACTTGATGAATTACTGGAATTACACCAAGACTCATATTCTGCACATTTAGTGAATGTTTGTCTTATTAACATTTGCCACAACAAATAAACATTACAAATTTCAGATGTTTTCCATAAAAATGCCATGCATATACTTTGCTTTGCTACGGTTTTGTATGGCTTCATTAATTCTTTACCATGCCCCTTTCAACTTTTAAAAGACATTCACCACGATTTCATTGAGTTTCACTCCACTTTGGTATTATCATGGACTTTCACAGAAAACAATTCAAATAAAGAAAGCCTTAGATGTAATGCACACAACTACAGCTGAGCAAGGCATACTCTGGGAATCACAAAGTCTTCCATGCATGTTTTTATAATCACAGGAATCTTAGCCAATATTTCTAAAGAGTCCTATAGCTTATAATTAAGTTTGCAAGCCCTTGATTTTAAATGTATTACTCTTTTGAACCAAATTAGGTTTGTTGCAAAAAAAGCTCCATGTGCACATTGGGTCATGATCTGGGCTAAGATTGAGAGTGGCTGACCGCAGAAATCAGGCAGAGCTTCATAAAGCCACATCATCAGTTACTGCAGTTTACTTCAGTGTTTGCTCTGTTGTATAAAACTCATACAGAGCCCATAAAACCCAACAAAGGAACAATAAATTGTTGTCACTCTTATGATTATTCAGTCAAATAGGGGAAGTCCATTGGTAAACTCCTCTCTTAGTGCTGATGATTTTCTCAAAACTTGCAGCTATAAAAAAGCACCACATAAGAACATAAGAAATATCAATCCTGATGTCACAGCACTATTAAAAATAAAGCCAAGACTAAAAACTGGAAACATCTCTGCAAGTGTGTTTGAAATAGGAACACAAGTCAGGGTGCAAAACGGAGAAGACTACAGTATATGACCACTCAAGATAGTTTGGTTTAAAGCACTGCAAAGACCTCACTCTAAAGAAGTGTTGATGTTATCAGCTTCTACAATATGGCTGAGTACTGTAGATTGTTCCAGATTCCAGATTCCTTGGTGTAAAGGACCTTCCCCTGTTCCACATTTTCAAGTGTCCCAGATTTTCAACTTGCCCTAAAGTTCATGTTTCAATCTTGATTTTGTTGACGTCCATTGGATTGACTTTATCAGGGACTTTGAGGATTTTTAATACTTGCATGAGGTCTCTTCAAAGTCCAGAAATATGAAGTCCTTTAAGCATGTCAGAGTAGGACTTTCTTTGTAATATTAGAATGTAAGTACTTCAAGTGGGTAAGCTGGGTCAGCATGTGTAGGCTGCAAAGGAACAAGTAAATGTTCCATGCTGAACAGAGAACAGAGAAGAAAGAAAACACAACGTTTCGGCCATGGAGCTCACACCTGAAGAAGGCTCCACAGCCGAAAAGTTGTGTTTTCTTTTTTCTCTTTTCAACATGGAATAAACCTATTACTTGTTCCTTAGAATGTAAGTGGTTGAGCTGTGGACTGATTCCAGAACATCAATATCTTTTTTGTATTGTGTCGAAAACGAACCAGCGCATTGCACAATTTTAATATAGGATTTAAATTGTACACTTTAAACTATATATACTGTATACCACTACATTCTGTATATCTTTATATTGTTTCCCTACATTGTCTAAATGTAGAAGTGATGAGAAATACAAAACACTGCGCAAAACTGAGGTCGGAACAGTAATGAGAACATAACAGTAGTATAGCCATATTGTTACCGAAAGATATCTTAAAAACATTACGAATTAAGAGATTAGTTAAATTACTGCGATTTTAACTTCTGGAAAATATGTGTTCTAGGATGAAATCCTAGTGTTTCACCATTAAATTCATAGATAGGTGTTCCAAAATATTCTCTAGCTGCAAAGCAATACAGTACAAGACTCATATTTTATTCAAATTAAAAAATAGATTTATAGGTAAAGATTAAAAAACCTTAGAAGCAATTAGTCCACAAGAGATTGCTGAATCAAAATATTAAACAATAACATTAACATACATATAATATCAACAATATTAGCATACATTCTGCATGTTTTCATGTCTAATACCAAAGGCTTAATTACTGAGGAAAATCAAAATAGTGATCAATCAAAAGTTACTGAATTAGCTGTTTTACAATTAATAAACCGGAAGAGAAAGTTTCAAAATGAGCTACAAATGAGTACTACTGTACATTCTCAAAGCTATTGCATTTGCAAAGCATTCCAAACTTTAGCCAAAAAGTTGACTGAGAGAGATCTCAAATTATTGATAACATCATTATTAAATAACATTGCCAAGGTGTTGCTTATTTATTAAAACATAATGAAACTGAAAGTGCCCAATAGGCAGCAGCAATTAAGTTGCAGTTGAGAGGAATTAAGATTCTACCTGTGCTGTTGACATCTCTTGTAAGAAAAAAAAAATAATAATCTAATTTGCTGATCACAGTCACATCATATTTAGATTTTTTTTCATGAACATTAGTTGCTATACATAAGACTTTAAAAGCCCAGAAAAGTACATTATCAAGAGAGGAAAGGAAAAAAGTCAAGGTTGTAGAAGAAACCCAAAAGGTCTACAAGCCTTTCACCTCTAAGTACTGTACTTGGGTTTCATTGGGTTCTAGTTCTGCAATTAATGGCATTATGCTCTCCTTCTGTAGGATGTTAAACAAAAGAACCAGAAAAAAGCCTCACCAAACTTGGAATCCTCACAAAACAATTTGACACTTATGTTTTGACATCCAGAAAAGAATTCTGCCATGTGGCTAAACCAATCAGGCTGTGGACAAGTTGGAAACATGTATTATTTTTCCAATAAAGTGCTGGCAATATACAACACAATGAGCGGCAAAAAGCTATGAAACCAGAAATTCCCTTTTCATTTTGGTATTTCTTTTGCCCTTTGTAAACCTCTGCTGTCTTTCTTTGTTTCGATGTTCCTCCAACTGCTGTATGTTAAATTTTATTTTTGTTCTGCCTTATTTTCTCCCCTGTTATTAGAGTCTGCGAGCTGTCTGGGGTTTTGTTTGTTTTTCGTTAAATTGTCTGGGTCAAGAGATCATTAACTGAAGGCTTGAAAAAACAGAGATTTGCTCACAGGGGACATGTCTCTGGGGATTTGATCTAAGAAGATCAGCCAGATATATATTTTCTGTGACCCAGTCTTGCAGAACATACAGTCCAAGAAATTATTATATTTACTATTATTAGTTTCCATGCATTATTTTTACCAAAATATTTACTCCAATGGCCTCAATGAGATTTTACAGTATATCATTTCCATACTGGGATTTAGTTGACCTTCTTTTCAATGTAAGCCAGCCCTGAATGAATCATTTATAGTCTGAAAAAATGAAGCCTTCACCCCGTAGTAGAAATGCAAGAACTGTATTTTCCTTTCACTAACAAAACAGTCAAGTTCATGGTTCAATTTAGAAGCGTAAATCCTGGTAGTTTTGAGTGCATTGCCACAGACAGGTAAGCTAAATGAAGGTTCCATTTCTTTCACTCAAAAGCATTCAAATACAGCTTTGTAAAATTTGTTCCTTTACTAGTTCACATTCAATATAGGATTCACAGCTGAAAGTGTTCTGTGAACATGGCACACAGGCTCTAAACTATGTCCTATTAAACAACCACTAAATCCAAACCCAGTATCGAATGGACCCTTCAAGGGGCAAATACCTTGATGATAAAAGCTGAGTGAATAGCTGCTATAAATGCTGGGTTTGGCATCCGAATTTGGTCAGTACTTTTATTTTAACCTGAGCTTTGGTTAGGTAATAAGTACATTGACAGTCACAATACAAAAGAGAAACAAAAGTATTTAAAATTTAAATATTAAAGAAATGTAAAGATTAGACCACAAAACATACCAAAATGTTATTATGGATAATATGTTAGCAATTTATTTATGTTGCTGCTCAGTGAACTCTCACAGAAAACTGAAAAGCCTCTATTATTCCCTTCATAATTGCTTGTGTTCATGTGTTCAAAGTTTTTCTCCAGACTAAGTTTCTTAAACAGACTGAATGTCATCTTTACACCCATTATATTTTTAGAAGGATGTTTATATTTCAAATTTGAATCTCATTGTGGTTAAAAGCTTGTGGAACAGTGAATACTTCAAATGTTATTCTTTACTTTGCCTAATGGCAGGCAAAAAGAATTATAAAAAACACAAATTAACATGGATAAAATAGCTCTAAAGCTTATAAGTTTTAGGAATCTAAAACTGAATAAAATTTCATTCAGAAAACACAAATATAAATAATAAAGTAAACACAAAAGACTTTTGTTTGTCAGTAGGGTCATATTGTTTAAAGAGATAGTAGCTTGACAGAAAGATCTTCTTAACTCCACCTCTGGAACCAAAGAAGTCAGAATGGGAAACATAAAAGTGCTGCTTTTGTCAGCTCTGGAAATTAGGCACAGTTGTTTGATTATAATTCTGCATCTGTGTCTTCTGAGCTGCATGTTATAAATCATAGTTTATGGACAATTATGTTTTTTCTTCACAACGGTTTTCAGCATCACATACCTGTACACTTCAAGAGATAAAATGTGTTAATATCTAGAAATGATGGGACCTTTCTTGACAAGAATGTCTTGGCAAAACCAAAGTAACACCTTGTGGCTGGAATAAGATTTTGATACAATCATATGCGGAAGAAGAAACTAAGAAATGCATACTGTATACAAGACTGAATATTCCTTTTCTGAGGAAACAGCTATTTTCAAAGAAGAGTTACTTCATCCATGTTCCTTGTTTGCTACGAAGGCTGTAATAACTATGAATTTAATCTAAACTGGTATTAGGGAGGTTATAGTGGACAAAGAAATATTTTTAGCCACAGTCACTCAATCTTTCTCTGCCCTTGACACACTATATAAA